GTAATCTCACCTCCCTGGTGAACACAAGGAGATAGGAGAGAGAATGCAGGAATTGTATAGAATGGGTAGGCTGCAGCCTGTCTGTAGTGCCTTTAATAGTCATGTATGGCCGGTCCAAAAGCTAGCTGGGTCATGAGGATGACTGCAGATTATAGTTTAACAAAGTAGTAGCCTGTGTTTGTGCTGCTGTACCAAACATTACAGACATCTGGAAGTACCTAGCAAACCACCCAGGTACTTATCATGCAACTCTTGACTTGGCTAACACCCTTTTTCAGCATGCCCTAGGCCCAGAAGCCCAGAACCAATTTGCCTTCACATTAGAGGGTCAGCAGCCCTGCCCTGGGGCTTCTTACATAGCCCGACCATCTGCCATGGCATAGGAGCCTGGGAACTCAGCTTGTTCCATTCCATGAAGACATCCAAAGGACCCATTCCATTGACGACATGATATTAACTCATGAGACTATTTCTCTCTTGCAGGACTTACTGCATGCCTTGACAGAACACCTTCAAGAAGGGAGATGGGTCATGAATCTGGCCCACAACCAAGGACCTGGCACATCTGTAAAGTTCTTCAGGGTGGTGTGGTTGGGTAACACAAGAGTGGTGCCAGAAGCTGTCATAGATAAAATGCAAGTCTACCCCTTACCCACCACAGTTAAAGGAAGTATTTTGGGGAGTTTCAGAGTCTTGGAGAATATTTATATCTCACTTGGCTCAATGATTGCCACCCCAGTTCAGGCTAAGCAAGAAAGGCACCAGGTGGAAAAGGGGAAAGGCATAACAACAAGCCTTAGAAAAGGCTGAGATGTTGGTACAACAAATGAAAACTTTAGGGGTTATACACAAAGAAGCCCCTTCAGTCTAGATGTCACAGTCACTCCTGAAGGAATGGGATGGAGCCTGTGGCAAACAAAGGGGAGGGCCATGTGGCTTTAGGATTTATAGAAAGGTCTAGAAACCAGATACACTCCTATTAAAAAAATAATTATTGGCAATGTATCTTTTTCTGCAGCAACTGGAGCCCCTTAAAGGTGGTGCACAAATCACTATGTGTACCATTTATCCCATCAATGAATGGGTAGATAGAGTGGTATTCATGAAATCACAATTGGCTGTAGCACAGCTTGACTAAAAGAGGCCATCTATCAGACAGCGCCTTGTCCTCTGAGCTACAAGCTATTTTAGGCTCTGTTACATACACTGAGTGCCAGAAATGTCAACTGTTGACCCAGTCCCTAATCTCCCACAAGGTAAAGAAGGTATGGGGACTATACCCCCTGAGGCATAGTTTACAGATGACTCAGTTAAGGGCAACTCCTCTCTACCTGGTCAGTGGTAGTGATTCAACCTGCCACTAACATCATCTGGCTAGAGACAGTTAAGGGGCATAGCAGCCAATAAGCACATTTGTGGGCAGTTTGGATGGTGGTGATGTATGAACCATGACTTTTGGGGTATGCACAGATAGTTGGGCTTAACTATGTGGATGGGTCAATGGCATAAAGATGAATGATCTGTATTGGGCAAACTTTTGGAGGACAGTGACATGTGGCAAGATATGTGGGTACGATTAAGTGATCCCAAACCTGACTGACAGTGTTTCATGTCCTGGCACACTGCCTACACACAACCCAGGAACACAGAGGTAGATGCCTTAACCAGGGTGTGTGCACTGGTGCCTAGACCACTAACTGATATAGTCAACTGGGTCCATCATAAAAGTGGCCACAGGGGAGCCAGAGTAGGCTGGAGAATAACAAAAAATACTGGGTTGCCTCTCACAAAAAGGGACATGAAAGAAACAGTTGCCCAATATCTGGTGCGTGCCCGCTAAAAGCCACAGCAAATACCTTATGCCCCTGGACATCTAATGAGGCATTGAAGCAACATTGAACCAGCAAAGACGTGGCGGTCGATGATATTGGAATTCTGCCCATGAATGAGAGTTCCAGGTATGCGCTGGTATGTATAGATAGTTACAGGCATCATGTAGGCATTTTCCAGTAAGTGGACCACTCAGCAAACAACTGTACAAGAATTAGAAAAACTGATTACTATGTATGTGTACCCAATCTAAATGGAGAGTGACAGGGAATTTCATTTTATGGATCATGATGTACAAGAATGGACTGGTGAGCATAATGTAAAATGATAGTACCACCTCCCTTATAACCCCCAGGCAGCTGGATTGGTAAAACATAAAAATGGGGGTTTGAAGGCACAAGTAAAGGCACTAACAGGTCATGACATGATGGGGGCCTGGGCAAAGTGCTGCCTCATGCCTTTAAGATCTTCAATGAAGCCCCTGTTGGGCCTAGAGCTCTATATGACCTTTCAGGCTCACAACCTGACATGCCCATGACTGTTAGGGTGACACCCTTAACCTCCACTGCCATTGTACTTTGTTTAACTGAATCTAAAACAACACTAATATTGAAGACACCCAGGAATGTGTATGTTGCAATGGGACCTAAAATGGTCAGATCCCTCTGGGAGAATAGGCTGGTGCATTCCAATGGGCATGGAGGACCTTTCAGGTCTTACTCTTTCTAACTCTTAAAGAGAGGACCTGATGGACCTGACATACTATTTGTGGCAAGAAGCCAGGACCATTAAAAGAGAAGAAATAGGTGCTGTAGAGAGGTCCACACCCTGCCACCTCAACCCCAGTTACACTGACATGCCCTTCACCTACCCCCTCCAGGCAACATATGTGGTTTGCTTCGCTTGGCAAAATGCCAGTACCAGTCACTATACTCTCTACATCAAATGTGGCTACCTGTATTATAATGAAAGACAGCAACAATCTCCCCTTATTGTACCTACTAAGTGATTATGCTTTAGTCCCTAGCTTTTGTCTATTCCTTCTTTGGTTAATCTCCAGTGGGACCTGCAGTGTGTTCCTACAATGGGCCCCTTCTATGGGTGACCAGCAAAACTGACATCTAGAATCACCAGTCAAGCAATAGAATGGCTGGTCAACACCACCAGCCTGGGGTGCGGTTGTTCCTTTTCTCCAAATGTAAGCATGGAATTGTGGAAAAAGGATGTGAGGGCGTGAAACCACACCTGATGTGTTTCTGGCCTTGTATAAATCTGGAACGCAATCATGTGAGTCACTTTAGGGTTGGGTCACCTAGCACAGATGGCACCCTTGTGCTGGGAGCAAAAACATGCCCATATATTCTTCCTTTGTTATGACACTTCTCTATCCTGACACCAAAATGGTGTCCTCTGGGTCAGGTGCCCTACAAGCCCCTTACAGATTGGGTGGACATCTCACCTTCTATGTAACCCCCCTACAGCAGTAAATGAGGGAATATGGCTGGGATCCAAGAACTCATCCTGGCAAAAAAACAGCGTGGCCACCTCCAAATGGCACCCAGTGGCTATGTGGCCCATACTTGTGGTCATGGCTGCCACAAGGTTGCACAGCACATTAGGGTATGTATTTGCCCCAGAGACTATTGTAGAGACCCTACCTACGAAACCTATAGCTAACCTGCCCCTTTTCAAAGCCTGCTGGACAGGAAATGTTTTCCAGTGGTAAAATCATCTTTTGTATATCATTACATCCAATATTGTACTAGAGGATGTAAGACCCAAGTAGGCGCCCTCACACGTTTTATACAGAGTGCCCTTACTGATAGTACGGAGCATAGGGGTTGCTAACATCAGAAATAATGCAAATGCATAAAGTAGTATTACAAAACAGAATGGCACTGGATATCTTGACCACTGCCCAAGACAGAACCTGCATTGTAATACAAACTTCTTGTGTGCCTTTATCCCTGATGAGTCACCAAATTGCCAAAACATACGCAGACCCAAGTTTCTGACCTAGAACACCCACCAGATGCAATGGATTCCTTCTTTGCCTCCCTAGGGATGGGATGGAAGAAAATTGTAACAATTGTGGTAATTTTCCTATAAATTATATTGTTTTCTTGCCTATGCTTGTATCGCTCTTCTGGATTGTGCCCCCAACGTCATTCATTGTTGGGCTCCTCAGCTTCCTCCATGCTAACAAAATCACCTGTGCGCTTGAAGAAGATTCTATCCGAAGGAATGTATGGGCTGGTCATGAGGAGTGGAGTATGGCAAAAGGAAGAGCCTAAGCATGGGACCTGTGATGTCACGGTTATCGTAAAGAGTAAAACAGCTGTCATGGGGAAATTTACGCGTACTCACTCACGTGACCATGGGCCATCTCTTGGCACTGGGCCTTCTTGGTTCTGTTTCTATATGATATCTGGCCTGTATCACTGTCCTGTCACCACCCATGGCGGCTCTTGTGAGCAAACTCCCCCAAAAAACCCATATCTATATTTACCTATACCACCACATTGGTGTGGACTACTTCTTTTCTTGGTATCTCAGTACCTTCTTATTATGGTGGGACCATCCCTCTAGATGATCTGCATCCCTACATATGGTCAGGTTATCAGAAGTAATATCAACAGGTATATCAAAGTGCCTAAAGATGACGGCAAGGAGGCAGCTAGGTGGCGCAGTGGATAGAGCACTAGCCCTGGATTCAGCAGGACCTGAGTTCAAATCTGGCCTCAGACACATAACACTTACTAGCTGTGTGATCCTGGGCAAGTCATTTAACCCCATTGCCTAGCCAAAAAAAAAAAAAAAAGATGATGGCAGAGCATGGGGTACAGAGGAAGCCAGGAGCCTAATGTCATTGAGAAAGTTGCAGAGCAATATGGAGGTCTGCAGATGATGGCAACTGGGGTGTTTTAAAGTTCTGAGTTAATATTTGTTAGGGCCCTGCTCTGGACCTCTGGCCTCCTGTAGGGGAGTTGAGACGCCTGGAGGTTATTACCTGCCCAGGAGCGTCTGGGCCTGCCCAGAGACTGGGCTTGCCCAGAAACGCATGACACTTACCAACTGTCGAATGGGCACTGGGAGGGCCTCTGTAACAGGAGGGAGCTCCACCTACGAAGGAGGAACGGAGGAGGAGCATGGGCATAGGGGGGAGGAGTTCGAGGGAGTTGAAAAGGCAGCGAGGAGGGTGCGGAGAGTAGGGAACTTGAGCAGGGAGCGAGCAAAGCAAGTAGTAGCGCAGCAAGCTATGTAATCAATAAAGACACAACTGCCAACTCGGGTGTTCTGTCTAGTCATTCCCCTCTCACCATGGAGGGGCCAGAGACATCTGAAGACTGCAGGGTGAGTATGCAGGCGAAGGCTTGGGTGGGATAGCTGACTAAGTGCACTACGTCAGCTAGGGGACCCACCGGCACGCAACAAATATTCTTCCCTTGAACAAGCTTTGCCTTTTAAATTTGCATATGGGCCAACTTTTGGATGTGAGCTAAAAACAAACAAACAAAAAACACATACAAATAGACATAGAGTGACTAATCTATTGTCCTTGCTCATGGGAGGGAAGGGAAAGAAAAGGAGGAAGCATTTATAAAGAACCTATTATGTGCCAGGCACTGTGCTAAGTACTTTTTTTTTAAACAAATATTATCTCGTTTGATCCTCTCAAAAAAACCTGCAAGATAAGTGCTATTGTTATCCCCATTTCACAGTTGAGGAAACTGAAGCAAAGAGAGGTTAAGTGAATTGACCAGGGTCACACAACTAGTGTCTTGTCTAAAGCAGGATTTAAACTCAGGACTTCAAATCTCTTGGCTCAGTACTCCATCCACTGTGCCTGCAGCTACCTCTAATGCATCTCAAGGAGCCGAGAAGGAGAATAAATAATCTGAAAGGATAATTAATCTCTAAAAAATACATATCGGGGGATTTTTTTTTTGTTTTTACATTTAAATTGGGCTCTCTGATATTCTGGAAATTCAAATTTCCTGAAAACTATGCCAATAATAATGAAATCACCCTGTAAGGGCTGAAATCTGGAGAATGGTTTCCCATTCTGCCTACCAACTTAAATCCTCTCCTATTCTCCATTTTCTACCTTGCATAGATGACAGATGTAGAATAATCTTATTTTTTGTTTAATCTTTTTTATATAAAAATATATTTCACACAAAACACAAACTTGCTAAGATTAACAAATGTAGAAGAATTTAAATTCAGTAAGGTATTCTGCTATAGCAGTACCGACCCTTCAATTTACACCCTGCAATGTGTATTTCAAAGGAGTGGTGTGTCTATTAAAAAAAGACAAAAACAAAAACAAAAAACACCTGTGGTATTAACGTTATACCCTGTTTGAATTTTGTGCATTGGTATTTCCATGTGTACAAATGACTTACAAAAATCTTTGCATTCATAGCACATGACATGCTACCATTAGGAAGAAGATCCTAGATCTGAGTAGGTTTTTAGCAAGGTCAGATAAGAGGGACTCTGATTTGCCAATTAGTGAGGAAATAGACATTTCCTCAGGTACGGAAGGTAAAAAGTGTTGCAAGTAGTCTCTGCTGGCCAAGTCATTGTGACAAGGCCCTTTCCTGGTTCCTTGTGAGATGATAGTCTTCAAGTAGAGAAACTTTCAGTTATGACAAGTTGGGTGCCAGAAACAGAATCAGTAGTGGTGCAGGTAACCTATTCATCTAAAGTAGACGTTCCCAAATTTATTTTGCCTACCACCCCCTTTTTAAAAAAAAATTAGTGCCCTACTGGAAATCTACTTTCTTTAACCCTTTAAGGGTTCTTTTTTAAAATTTGCATTGTTTCAAAAAAATAGAAAACATTTTTTTAAAAAGTGACACATCTTAAATTTAGTAATGTATTGTAAATTTGAAATTGAAATTTTGAGGGCACAATATTGTGTCATGTAACCGTATAGTATTATATTGTAAACAAGTCATTACACGTACTTCTTCCTGCAGATGCGTGCTGGACTTCCTGATAATGAGCACCATGCTCGCCTGCCAACACATGCTTATCAAGACCTGTCAACAGACTTGACTACTGATAGGTTATAACTTGTATTTTGTGTGTTTATTTGGAAAATAATATAATAACTATGACTTTAACTCTGTTACACAACAGATGAAACATATACTATCAATTTTTCAAAATCTTTATCTCTTTATGCTTCCACCGCCCCCTTATTTTTATTCAACACCCCCCATTGCACCTGAGGCTACTACCACTTCTGCCCCGAATCGTTCCAGTGCCCTCCAAGGGGGCGGTATCACCCACTTTGGGAACCATAATTCTAAAGCATCAATTTGTCTCTTCAAACTGTGTAAAGTGCCTTATGTTTTAGAATAACCTTTTAAACCAGGACTAGTCCACACTTTTTCTGGTACAAGAAAATAAGGTTGAACACATTCTGTTGTATAACCTGCTATCCTTGGTTGGATAAAGATCTTGTTTCTATTAACCAAACATAGGGAAATCCTGCTAGACACAAACTGATACATGCCTTAGATTTTGGGAAAGCAGATTGAAAGGGCCAAGGGAGGAAGTACGTTTCTAAAGTAAGATTATGCAGAGAAAGTTGGCCCAGGAAGGACAGGAAGTTCTTTGGAAATTTGAGATAGAAACAGAAAAAAAAAATTCCTATGAGAAGAAAAATGGAGAGCCAGCCAAAAAGATTGAGGTAGATGCCAAAAGTGTTCATTAATCAATTTAGATTGTAAAGAGCATATATGGGAGCTGGAAGCAGGGACAGGTGTGGTTCCTGTAAGAACAATGTCCGAAATACTAAAGCTTATAATGAGCTGAGACTGACAATGGATGCTGATGACAAAAAAAAAATGAGGGAATGGAGGCTTTTAAAAGTGCTATTGATCAAAAGGGAGAGCACCACAGCTTGAGGCAGATTGGATGATGAGGGAAGGCAGAACTACTAAATTCTTACTTGCTTTTGTTTTTCCTGTCAAAGAGAACTCTTTGGATTGGAATAGAAAGAGCAAAAATTGGCTAAAAGGAAGCTGAAAATTAGAATAAGTAAGGAGACAATGAGAGAGCACCTAGCAACAACCCCATGATGAGCTCATATCACCAGGCATAAATGAACTATGTTCAAGAAAACTGAACAGACTGGCAGTTATAAGTGCTGAGCATGTCAAGAATCTTTAAAAGATCATGCAGAACAGAAGGCATTGAAAAGGACAATTGTCATAGCTTTCAAAAAGTGAAAGGGAATGAAAGTATTCACCAAGCTTGACTTCAGTTCCTGGTAAAATTCTAGAATATATTATTAAAGGGAAATGTAAAAACAAACAAACACACAAACAAAACAAAACCCCCATGATTACAGAAGCCAAGCATGGTTTCGTCATGAACAAATTATGCCAGACTAACCTAATTTCCTATTTAGACAAGATTGCCAGACTGGTAGAAAAGGAAAGTGCCATAGACAGAAATTTGTCTAGATTTTAGCAAAGTATTTGACAAAGTCTCTCATGTTTTCCTGGTGAACAGGATGGAAAGATGTGGCTAGATGGTAGTATAATTAGGTGGTTTGGGAACTGGATGAATGACCAAACCCCAAGAGTAGTCAGTCACTAATGGGTTGATGTCAGCTTGAAGAAGCTCCAGCATAGTGCCCCTGAGATCTGTCTTAAGCTTTGTGCCATTAAAAGTTTTTGTTGATGACAGGTATGAAGGTATGGGTAGAACACTTATCAAATCTGCAGGCAAAACAAAGCTGGGAGAGAGTTAAGAAGGTTAATAGCGTCAGGATCTCTCTTGACAGGCTAGACTACTAGGCAGAATCTAATATGAGAATAAAGGCAAAGTTCTAAATTTGGATTCAATAATCAACCTTATGGTACAAGATTGGTGGTGTGTGATTAAACAGATGTTTATATGAAAAGGATCTGGAGATTTTAATGGACCACAATCAATGAATGAATGAATGAAAAAAAGCACCCACTAAGTGCTTACTACATGCCAGGTACTATGTTAAGTGGTAGGGATATAAATGGAAGTAAGCAAGACAGTCCTTGCTGTCAAGTAGCTTCCATTCACTCTAACAGGGGAAGCCAACAGGTGGACAAGGAAGGTGGTGGCCAAGGAAGTCAGAGGGAATGGTAATTGGAGTCAAAAGGCAATTGACTGACCTATCCTTTCCAGAAATGGTAATATTTATTTGATTAATGTTTTCAGAGGTAGCTGAAACTGTCTGATATGGCAGAAAGGTCCACCTTAATACCAATAAGGAATGCTAATTTGATATGATGGTAAATGATAAACAAAAGATAGTAAGAAAAAAAAAGCTAAACAGAAAAGATGAGCTGTTCCATATGCTATTATTCTAAAACGTCAGCTAAAGTTAGAGCAGTTAAAAACACTTACCTTTTCTCAGTGATCAATTAATCCTTCAGAAGATGAAAGAAAAAGTGAGGGAGATTGCTAATTGGGTCCTGGAAGAAAAGTGAAACTTGAGCAGCAGTATTTAACATCCTCAAGCTCCCAACAAATAAGGAAGGAAATATTTGACAGAGTCTAAACACATACTTCTGGTTTGGGAAGATCAGATTTCAGAGTACAGAGAATGAATAGATGGGTATAGATTTACAGCGTGAGACTTCAAAGAAGTAGTACAAGAAGGATGGGAGGTTCTCAAGAGTGAAACTGATTATACTGTTGCAACTGAATATGATGAGTAATAAGAAAAAGGGAAGGAGTGGAAAGAAGCTGACATAGTCATAGAGGGAACTAACTTATCCATAAACTCAGATCATTTTTAATTTTTTTCTTAATTACATGTAAACACAAATGTTTAATATTTGCTTTTTAAAATTTTTGAGTTCCACATTCTCTTTCCTCTCTCCCTCCCTTCTTTCCTTCCTCCTTGAGAAAATGGGTCATTTGAAATAGATTATACATGTTCAGTCAGGCAAAACATTTCCATATTAGCCCTGTTGCAAAAGAAAATGCAATCCACCCCGTACCCCAAAAAACGAGAATAATAATGTTTAAAAAAAAGTATGGTTCAATCTGCATTCAGACTCCATTTTATCAGACTCAGATTTTACCAGAGATGGAAATGAAGATAAAAATCACAGGATCATGGGTCTGCAGCTAGAAGAGACCTCAGAGGTCAATTGGTCCAGCCTACTCATTTTACAGATGAGGAAACTGAGGTCCAGGGATGTGATGTGATTTGCTCAAGGTCACACAAGAGACAGAGGTGGGATTTTTAACTCAGGACTTCCAGAGCCGTTGGTCTTCCCACGACACAAGGGCCCTGAAGAAAAATGCCGGAAAGGCTATTGCCCAGTATGAGCTTGGGCTCCTGACAGATACTGATGACAGCAGCTCTTCTTTCTCCCTCACACTCCAGATCTGGTCATTACCAAGTCCTGTCAGTTCTCCACCACAACATCTCAGAGGTCCCTTCCCTCTACTCTTACAGCTAATACCTTAGTTTAGCCTCTCTTCACCTCTCACCCCCACTTGCCTCTGTCTTCATTCCATTTGCTACTGTAGGTAGATAAGTTAATACATGGTAGCTGTGGGCACATACCACCCACAAAATTTCCAAGTGCAGCCTGAACCAGATTAAAATGCAACTGGGAAATTTTAACAAAATAAATAAAAATACAATACAACAAAGATAGTGTTCATTTTCAGTTTTCCAGTTTCGATTTTAACTTGGCCTCACTGTCCTACACCACTGTTAAGCTGATATTCCTAAAACACAGGTCTGACCATTGCCTCTAGAATAAAATATAAACTCTTCTGTTTGGCATTTAAAGCCCTTTGCAATCTGGCTCCAGTCTATCTTTTCAGGTTATTATTATTATCCATAATAATAATAATAATAGTTTATTTAAAGAGCACCTTAAGGTTTGCAAAGTGCCTTACAACTATGTTATCTCACTCACTGATTACAAATTATTTCCTTTGAGAGTTCTACCATCTAGCCTATCAGGCCTACTCACTGTTTCTCATATGTGATATCCCACCTCCCAGCTCCACACCTGCCATGACACCTCTCCCCTCCATGCCTTTGTCCTCTCACTCCCTTCAAGTCTCCTTTCAGGTTACACCAATTATATAAGGCCTTTTTTTATCGCCTCTGCTGTTGGTGTTTCTCTGCCAAATTACTTTATATTTACATTGTATTTAGTTATCTGTGTCCATGTTGCTTCCCTCTTGTAGAATGTAAGTTCCTTGAGGGTAGGCAAATTTTTGTCTTTTATGTGGTGCCAAGCACAGTAGATGCTTAATAAATTCTTACTGAATTTTGAGGGAAAGAACAAATTGAAGAAACCTAGGTTTAGAGTCAAAGAACTTGAGTTCAAATCCTGAATTTAAACCCTTAACAAGTAACTTCCTAGCTCTTAGCCTCAGTTTATTATTGTTGTTGTTCATTCCTTTCAGTCATGTTCAACTTTTCATGACCCTATTTGGGGTTTCTTGGCAAAGATACCGAAGTGGTTTGTCATCTCCTTCTCCAGCTCATTTTACAGATGAAGAAACTGAGGCAAAGAGTTACGTGACTTGCCCAGGTTCACACAGCTTGTATGTGTCTGAGGCCAGATCTGAATTCAGGCTTTCCTGACTCCAGACCCAGCACTCTATGCAGTCAGTCTATCCTCTGCACCGCCTAGCTTCCCTTAGCCTCAGCCTTCCTCAACTGCAAAATGAGTGAACTGAACTAGGTAGTTGTTAAAGTCCTGTCTAGCTCTCTAACTATTGGCAGTCAATTAAATAACAAATATTTATTCAAGTTTCTACTATGGGCCAGCCATTGTGCTGGGCAATATGAACTCTATGAATATGAAGATAATGATCTTGTGAATAAGTCACCTAGTTCAAATCATTTATTATATTTGGATATGAACAACAATATATACATACGTACATATGTGTACATAGATATTTAATAGGCTGAGGAGGTTAAGCAATTTGTCAGAAGTCATACAAAACCTTAACAGAATAGAGGAATGCAAAAGTATGAGCAGTTCTCTAAGATTAGTGTCAGAAGTATAAAAGTTCAGAATGAGCTGAGGCTGATGACAATAGCTACTGGCAGAGGGTTGGGTTTTTGTTTTTTTAAGCTATACTGGGGAAAAGAAGAGGCTCAAGAAGGCCTAGGAATGCTCCGATGTATGGGATAGCAACTAATGATGGAAAGAAGGAAGTGCTGTTCAGTGTCTCTTATTTGGTCTTTTTCTTTGCCAAAGAGAAAGATGCTTGGACTGGAAAGGCCAGAACGAAAAACCATTAGTCAGGAGTTAATGTCCAAGATAAGTTAGAAGACAAGAAGAAAGCACATAGTTGGCCAACATGAACTTAAGGCAATAGGACTTATTACTGAGGCAATGTCAATGACCTTTGAAAAGCCAAAGAAAGTGGAAGAGAGAACATAGAAATGACGAAGGGCAAATGTATCAATTTCTGGACATCTCATTCCAAGAGGGAGAGAATGGAGTCTACAAACTATAGGCCAGTGAACTTGACTGACTCTTAGAAAATTTTAGAATGCATTATATACTGTTCAAGAAATGTGGAAATGTGGAAATTGTCATGTGGAAATTGATGGACAATACCCATTGCATAAATGGAAGGATGGCTCATGGGTCCTCCTTGAGTAGTGTTACAAAAAAAGCAGAGAAGGCAGAGTTAAATACTGATAAGAAATCAAGAAGGATGAGGACTGAGAAAAGGCCATTATATTTGGCAATTGGCAACTTTGGAGTGAGGGATTCTAGTTGAATAATGAGGTTGGAAGCCAGAATGCAGAGGGTTTAGTAGAGAGACAAAAAAGAGGAAGCGGAAACACTAAGTGCAGATGGCTTTTTCAAAGTTCACTGTGAAACATGAAGAGATAAAAGATAATAGCCAGTAAGACTGGTAGGATCGAGAGAGAGAGAGAGAGAGAGAGAGACAGACAGACAGACAGACAGACAGACAGACAGAGACAGAGAGAGCCAGAGAGAGAGATACACACACACACAGAGACAGAGAGAGAGAGAGGGAGAGAGAGAGAGAGAGGAGGGAGGATGATAGTACGAGCAGTCTGCTGGGAAGGATACATGTAGATTACACAAACATGCTTGTAAATACAGTCCCTGCCCACACTCAGTTCCCTAGATTGTCATCAGATTTTTGACCTTCAGCCTTACAGTTTCAGGTTTTAAGAATATCATGATACTTTGAATTTCTTTCTGTTGTAATAATCAGTGACCTTAGGACCATTTTGTGCAGTGGGAGAAGGGCAGATTAAGTGCCCTTCAATAGCAAATTAAGCACATGGAAAACTCGAGTTGATTTAAGGAGAAGGTACATACTGGGAGCTACAACCTAAGGGCAGTTGATTTCTTCTTACGGAACATAAGAGCAATTTATCCTCTGTGTATGTGTGTGTGTGTGTGTGTGTGTGTGTGTGTGTGTGTGTGTGTACATATTTGTTTGTATATTGTATCTGCAACTAGATTAAGCTCCTTAAGAGGAGGGCCTGCCTTTTTTGCCTTTCTTTGTATGCCCAGTATTTAACATAGTGCCTGGCACATAGTAGGTGCTTAATAAATGCTAGGTGACTGACAGCAGTAGGGGAAAACCCAAAGGCACATCTGCTTGTGGCTGAACAAAAGCAAGGGTCAGGAAAAATGAAGTCCCAAACTGACAGCAGTTGAACAAATAACTGAGACCACACATACCTTTTTCTCCTTATCTACTTTTCTACTGCCTCACTGGTTCTTCCCTATCTCCTTTCATCAGGCAGTATAGTGACCTGGGTCCTAGTTTTGACTGCCACCTAGGGCAGATTATTTAAACGCTCTGGTCCTCAGTTTCCTCATCTATGAAATGAAGGAGTTGCCAAAAGTCACTAAATGGTATAGACCTTTAGACACAGTGATACTACTACTATTAGGCCAGAGGGAACCTATTTGCACAAGCTTGTTTATAGTAGCATTTTTGGTAGTAGTGAAAAACTGGGAACAAAACAGTTGTCTATCAGATGGAGGGTAGCTAAATAAACTAGGGCATAGGAATATAATACTATTCCATCATAAGAAATATTGAACATTATACATTTGGAGAAACATGGCAAGACCTGTAAGAACTAATGCAAAGGGAAATGAGACTATTCAGCAGAACACTGTACACAATATGATGAGGAGGAGGAGGAGGAGGAGGAGGAGAAAGAGGAAAAGGAGGAGTAGAAAGAAAAGGAGAAGAAAGAAAGACAGAAAGGAAAGAAGGGAGGGAGGAAGGAAGGAGAGAGGGAGGAAAGAAAGAATGACAGAGAGAAAGAAGGAAAGAAAGAGAAAGAAAGTAAAGAAGAAAGAAAACAACCCTGAAAAACAAATTAAAACTCTGACCAAAGCAGTGAAGGACAGTGAATTCAAAAAACTGATAATGAAACATACCCACCTCTTCATAAAGAGGTAGTGGACTAGAGATGCAGAAAGACATGCATTTCAGATATGGTCAGTATATTGGTTTGTTTTTCTGGACTCTCTTTGCATATATAGATATATATATGTATACATATACATACATACACACATATATGTATACACACATACACACACACACACACACACACACACACACACAAATGTAGAGCCCACTATATAAAGTAAAACTTCAGTAGGGGAAGGAGTAGGTTAATAGGTAGTGCTAGATATACCCTCCCTAAGAATATCAATAAAACTTTTTTTTTTATGCACAGAAGTAAAAAAATTCAGAAAGACAAGGACATTTTTTTATTAACTTGTTAAATCTAATACACTTTCTTTTTTTTTTCAAACAAGAAAGTATTGAGGATTTATTATACAGGTGTGCTACACTTAGCCACAAAGAAAACCATCAGTCCGGAATGATGAAAATCCCATGGCATTAAGTCAAGTTGCAGGTAGGTGGAATCTGCAGTAAACGATGGCACATCCTTTTGTCAGGGTGCTGTCAAATGGTGATAAGAGTCCTTTATCAGATGGTAGAGCTAGTGGAGTCCTTCATAGGACATGTGATGTCTTCCGAAGGTTTCTGCCTTCCTGAGAACGTCACCAAGGGTCATTCTGTCTCTGCTCCTGTGGCCTCTGTGGTCAGCACAATCTGATTACTTGGACCTCTGCCTCATCTTTCTCCTCTTGCGTTTCAGCCTACACATTCGCTTCTTCTTCCACTTGGTTCTCGTGGCACAATGGAAGTTGACAAGATGGTGCTAAGAAGAAGAGAATCTAATATACTGCTTAAAAACAAATTGGATATGAAAGAATTTCACAGATTCTTATATAATCCTCCTCTTCTTCTTTGTATTTTGAAAAGCTTGTGTTTACTGAAAATAAAGTTCATAATAAAAACTGAATGGAATAAATAAAATAAAGGGATTGGTTAGCTTTGGAACAATGATTTCATGGATCCATTGTGATGGCAATATTTAAAAGCTAAATAAGCTGGGGCATAGGAATATAATACTATAAAACTATTCCTTAGCTGGAATAGTTTTCAAGATAAAAGTCCCTATTCCCATAAAACTGACCATATTTCAATAAAATTTGCAGCTTATTTCAAAGAGGAAGAGAGGGAACAGTGTTATCTTACTTCTGGGAAAGGGTACAAAAAATAGTATATTTTGTTGTTCAGTCATTTCAGTCGTGTGCAACTATTCATGACCCCATTTGGGGTTTTTCTTGGCAAAGATAGTGGAGTAGTTTGTCATTTCTTTCTCTAGTTCATTTTTTTTTTTTTTTTTACCAATGAGGAAACTGAGGCAAACAGGGTTAAGTGATTTGCCCAGGGTCACACAACTAGTAAATATCTGAGGCCAAATTAGAACTCAGGTCTTTCTGATTCGAGGCCCAACACTATGCACTGTGCCATCTGGCTGCCCTAACCTTTACCTAACATGGGAGCAACACTGTTGACCAGATAGGGTAATGACAATTAGGGTTTAGAACTGCTTATTACAGTGATTTACCAGGGGGCATTACTCAAGTCACTTAAACCTCAATTCACTTATGCCTCAACCTTCCCATCTGTAAACTTGAGTGTCATAGGCTCTCCACTGATTTGGCAGTAAGGATGATAATTAGCTTATGGTAATTGTAACAGAGAACCATGTTCTTTAATGGACCAAGAAATAAATGGCGGGGGCAGCTAGGTGGCGCAGTGGATAGAGCACCAGCCCTGAAGTCAGGAGGACCTGAGTTCAAATCAGGCCTCAGATCAAACACTTGACACTTATTAGCTGTGTGACCCTGGGCAAGTCACTTAACCCCAATTGCCTAATAAATAAATAAATAAATAACCCCTAGAACCGAGTTCAATATTACTAATGTGGTATAACTAGGTCAGGACAAAGTAGAATTAGCAACTCTCCTTTCCAGATCTCTCTTCCTTTTCAGATGCAGCCCAACTTTCTAACTTTTCTGTGTCACTATTAACACACATTAAACTTTCACTAAAACACTCAGGTATTTTTTCATATTAATTGGTGACTAGCCCTTCTACCTTGCCCCTGGGATAGTAGATGATTTTTTTTTTAAACTCATATAAAGGACTTTACATTTCCAATGTGCCAAGATTCCAATGAATCTGATTTCTTAAGATATGTTATATTTGTAGGTTTAATGGTTTATTTTATATTGATTTTATATTAGATGGATACCTTCAAGTATTATCTAAGGAGGCCCATTAATTTGATCAGTAACATGTCTCCAAATCACCCCTTCTGCATGCTGCAATCCATTCAAACTGGATTTCTTTCTGTTTTCATACACAACACTGTCTCCCACTGCTCTATCTTTGCACTAGCTGTCCCTTATATTTGGAATGAACTCTTTCCTCATCTCTATCTTAGACAGTCCCTTTCTTTCTTCAAGACACACTTAATGCATGAAGCCTTTCCTGCTGCCAGTGCCTTCCCTCCCAAATTATGTTGTATTTTACTACATTTTATTTATTTGTATGTATTCCAGCTCTGAATCTATGATTCTATTCACTTTATATCTATTCTATGTACATATATGTATATATATGAATCATGTACATATAATATGTATTTAGCATCTTCTCCATTAGAGTGTAAACTTTTCATGAGGAGGGATCATTTCAGTCTTTGTAGTTGTAACTCAAGTGCATAGCACAGTGCTTGGCACATAATGAGTATTTAATAAATGCTTATTGATTGATTACAGAATAGGCTTTGGGGAAGATTTCCTATAGGCATGTAATCGTTGTTATTTGTCCTTCGTCAAAGAGGACCATGGCATCAGGGAGGTGATGCCACGGCATGCAAGTGAATTGGATTTAAGTGAGGGAGGGCTGTGCAAAGTCAACAGCCTCACTTTCTCCTCTGGAGCCATCTGGGTCCAGTGGCCAGATATAGATCAGGACAACTGGAGATGGCCCAGAATGCAGTGGGGGACCTTGGCCTTTTCAAGCTAAGGTCTTTAACAGATCTCAGTTTGACTGAGGCAACACCCATTCAATGATTAAGACTTAATAAGAAATGAGGCTGAGTCAAAAAAAAAAAAATTGATCTGAAGGGGAAGACCCTCAGGGTTTCTGGGCAAAACAGGAACGAATGCTATTTACATTCATTCTGAGCCAATCAGGGCCCAAATGATGACCAAGTAGGGCTTGGGCTGGGACCTCCTGTTGGCCAATCACTGAGAGCCAGAGTGATTTGGGGTTAAGGCTGGTCTTCAAGAAAGAAAAAAGAAATCCTGGGGCATCTTTAGTTGTTCTGATCTATATGTGGCCCCTGGACCCAGACGGCTCCAGAGGAGAAAGTGAGGCTAGTGACTTTGCATAGCCCTCCCTCACTGAAATCCAATTCACTTGCATGTCATGGCATCACCTCCCTGATGTCATGGTCCTATTCGAGAACGAAGGATAAAGCACAACCTCTGTGAGCTACTTCACTGGGGACCAAACTTGAACTGGCCAGTTAGGCAACATGGTTTTTTTTCCTTCCTTTCTTTTTCTTTCTTTCTTTCTTTCCCTTCCTTGCCTCTGTCCACATACGGTATCACACTCTTACCTGCCGGTGCTCTGCCCAAAGGGAATGTAAATCCCAGTTCTGTTGTTGTTTTACCTTTTTTTTTGGGGGGGGGGGGTAAGGCAATGGGGGTTAAGTGACTTGCCCAGAGTCACACAGCTAGTGAGTGTTATGTGTCTGAGACAGGATTTGAACTCAGGTCCTCCTGACTTCAGGGCCAGTGCTCTATTCACTGTGCCACCTAGCTGCCTCCTTTTTTCTTTCTTAAAGACCAGCCTTAACCCCAAATCACTCTGGCTCTCATTGATTGATAGGCAAGTAATCCTACCCCTGTTCAAATCCTACTTCCTCTGGAAGATTTGCAATTATTTGAGTACACATCTTATCCACCTTCCTGCCATCTCATTAGATTGTAAGCTCCTTGAGGGCAGGGACTATTTCAGTCTTTGCATGCCCGACACTTTAGTCCTCCCCTGATATACCACATGATAGTGTGGAGTTGATCCTCACTTCCCTAAGGAAGGCTATACCAACAAAGTACAAGCACTGGCAGACATTATGTAGCTGGAAAGGCTTTGGAGTATTGGCTCAGTCAGAATGTTTGAGGAACAGTCCAAGCCAAGTTGAGAGGGGCTAGCGACCAGCTGATGAATTTCTCCAGCTGCAGCAGTTCCTGGAGACTATCCACTTAGGTAACAAAGGAAGTATAATCTGCATTGGTGGAAAGAGTACCTGTTCCCCCAAGCCAATGAAATCAGGAATTTGTGAAGTGTCAAAGCATTGCTGATAACCTACACAGTGCCTTGCATAGAGTTGATTGCGATGAATGAAGAGTTGGAGAGACATAGTTTCTGGGTAATTAATAATTAATTTATTAATTATAGTGTGAGGGAAACTGAGGAAGATCTTCCCCAGCCCCTCGCGAAACTGACATAAAGAATGTAAATTGGAGTTATGCATGGTCGAGGGTGCCATGGAGACGGAACAGTAAGTAATCAACAAACTGTGTTACCTGGGAAAGCAATTCTTATCTCAAGGAACATTTTTCTTGAGAGAAGTGTGTAACTGTCCAAGGACCTGATCACTCCTTGGAGACTTACACAACAAACAGGTATTTGGGGCTCCGATCAAGCTCCCACCTTGGTTAGAATGTGTGCGTATCCAGGACCTGAGCTCACCAAGGATATGTACACAAAACAAAATATTAAGATTGTTTTTCCCTGGTTTACATAGATATAAAAGGGACATCTGAAAGGGGATTTTTTAGAATACTTTGATTTCAGAGACAGGGACGCCTATTCTCTGTTGTTGTCATTCAAGGGTGGAATGCGTGCACGGTCCTTTTTGTTTAAGGGCAGGACACTGCTCTTCTGGCCTCCTGATCAGACCTCTTGATCGTCTCCAGTCTCCTCAGTCTCACAGGTATTTGAGCTTGCCTGGTCAGTGAGTGTGTATCCTTCCTTTTCTTATTCCTCCTTTTCTTGATTTTGATTAATACTTATTGCATTCAATGTTATTCTTATCTTTATATGCTTGTGTTGCCTTCATCATTATTAATCATCATAAAATAAATGTGATTGTTAAGATTATACTGAGCACGTGTCATTATATCTTGAGACCCGAACCTAAAGCGAAAGTACTGTGCAGTCCGTAATCCTTTCGATTACATACGGTTAGCAAATAATCAATAAGTTGAGGTCAATGGTTTTGTTTTGTTTTTTTTTTGGCCGGGGGGGGGGGGCTCTGCTGAATGAATTCTGCTGAATGCTACAATGAGAGAATGAATATTATAATAAAAGGTGGACTTAAGAGGACCAAGGTTTGGGGCTGAGGCTTCATAGATAAGCACCTTATTGCTCCAAGTGATATTTCCACAAGGACATACAGTATCCCAGTCAAAAGTGGAGCAGCTTCCTCTGGTCCTAGAGTCACTAGCACTAGTTATACAACTGTGTATCATTGTGCATCAGAAAAGACACAGCCCTACATTGTCACCAGCACAAACCTTAGTACAGGAAGTGGGATGAGGGTGGGGGACGGCAGATTTGGTTTAGTCCCAGGGCTGGATAGAAGGGAAATCTGGAACCCCAACACTAAGAAAGCAAAGAGCTCCTGAGGGTAATTATCTCACTGTCCCTTAAAAAAAGTTCACCGAGCTAGCCCAGTTCAAAGACCACTTCCTCCAAGAGGCCTCCCTTTACAGCCTTGGCCCATCTCCCTTGTATCCATTAATCAATCAATCAGTCGGCACTAAGCTCTGGGGATACAAAAAGAGGCAAAAGACAGCCCCTGCCCTCAAGGGCCTTACAATCTAATGGGGGAGACAAGAGACAAATAGACAAAGCAAGCTACATACAGGATAAATAGGAAATAATTAGCAGAGGGAAGGCACTAAAATAAGAGAGAGCGAGAAAGGCTTCCTGTAGAAGGTAGGATTGTGTTGTTTATTTTCAAAGAAGACCAACTCCATGCACATGTGATGACTTGCACATGAATT